GGCATTGTGAGTATGGAGCTCTGGGGGGGGGGGGGGGGGGGCAGGCCCAGTCCTGGCAGGGGCTGCAGCTGGGCTTCTGTCTTGGCAGATCCTGGGGAAGCTCATCAACAGCCTTCATCCCAGCGGCTCGAAGCCTGTGAAGATCCCGGATCCGCCCCCCACCATGGTCTTCAAGCAGATGGAGCAGATCTCCCACTTCCTGAAGGCAGCCGAGGATTACGGGGTGGTGAAGACGGACATGTTCCAGACGGTCGATCTCTTTGAAGGTGTGTGTGTGGGGGGGGGGGGAACAGAGCTTGTGCCTTTGCTCCAGAGCCAGAATTCCTGCTGGCCTCCTTGTCTGAGAGAGGTTGGGACCCAGTGGGAGCCCATCTCCCCCAGGAGCCCTTCCATGCTCAGGCTGCCAAATTGCCCCCAGGGGGACCCCTTTCCTGGTCAGACTGGGGGCCGGGGAGGGCTCCTTTCAAAGGCCCCAGGGGGGGCTCTGGAGCTGGGGTGCTCCCTGGCCAGGCTGTCCCCCTGTGGGAGACCATCCCGAGGAGGGCTCCATCCTCACCCCAGCTCTTTTTCCCTCCAGCCAAGGACATGGCAACTGTCCAGCGCACCCTCATGGCCTTGGGCAACCTGGCCGTGACCAAGAACGACGGGCATTTCCAGGGGGACCCCTCGTGGTTCATGAAGTAAGTGGCAGCGGAGGTGCCCCCAGCAGCTAAACTGCTCCCTGCGGGGAGGCTCTGCTGGCATCTTCTCTCTCTGTCTCCCTGTGGGAAGCGATTGCCCCCCTCGACCTCCGGTGGCAGAGGCTGCCTTCAGGGAAAGCGGAGCCTTGGCCCGCTGGGCACAGCACAAGGGCTTGCCAGGGAGGGCGCCCGATGCCCAAGGCTCCATCGTGACCCCCTTCTCCCTCCCCAGGAAGTCCCAGGAGAACAAGCGGGACTTCTCCGAGAGCCAGCTGAAGGAAGGCAAGAATGTGATCGGCTTACAGATGGGCTCCAACAAAGGGGCGTCGCAGGCAGGCATGACGGGCTACGGCCGGCCCCGGCAGATCATCAGCTAAGCCCAGTCCAGCTGCTGTGCTGCCCCCCACCCCCCCAGCCGGCCGGTCTTCCCGCTCTTGCTGACAGCCAGGCGAGCTCCGCCCCACAGCTGCCGCCGCCGCCACCGCCAGGGGTACGCGCAGGGGACCTCCCCACCATGCCCCCTAAGCAGTTCCCGGAAGGGGCGCCGTGCCCAGAGGCTTCTGCTGCTGCTGCATAGCAACGGCCAGCCAGGCAGCCAACCTGCTCCAGAGCTGCTGGCCTCTGCATGCTGCCCGCTTCACCCGCCCGCCCACTGCACTCCCTCCCGGCCTGCTTTGGCCCTGGCACGCATCCTGGGGCTGCCGGAAGGCTTTGCCCAAAACCGCAGAGCTGAACTTGGCTGAAACTGCCCAGGAGCCTCTCTTGAGAAACTCTGCCAGGGGCGCAGAAGGAAGCTCCCCTTTTGTACTTTCTGGGGTTATTCATTGGATTAAAAACTGAATCTTTGGGGTCCCTTGGCTACATCTGAGTTTCTTCTCCGCCTGCTCAACTGAGGGAGGGACACGGCCAGGGCCTCATGCCCCCATTTGGGCAAGTCCAGGAGGCAGAGGGGGGGGGGCTGGCCCAGAGTTCCTGCTCAGTTCCCCCTTCCAGCCGCCCGAGGGGGGGAGGGGGGCTGGGTCTTCCGGCTCAGGGGTCACAGAGGGAGCGGAAGGGCTGGGTTTTCAACAAAGGTTTATTTTGGAAAAGTGCAAAAGGAGAATCCTGCCCGCTGCTCATCCAGAGCCAGAGAAACCAAGGGAGGGTGGGGGCCTTGGGAGAGGAAGGCAAAGCCCCACGGGGGGGGGGGGGGGGGGGGGGGCCCGGGGGT